TATTAATCAAAGTTTAGTTTTTGCAGTAAAACAGGAAAAATCAAATAATTAGTATAGTAACAGACTACAAAAAACTATCTTTTACAATGAAAAATTAGAAGCAGGGGACAAGAATCATATTCATTTCAATTGCTTAAGGAATGAGAAAATTATACTTAATTATATATTTGTGAAAGCTAGAAGCTACTCTGCATCTGATACGGCCATAAATAGATTGCTTCAAATAATTTAAGACCCTACTCCTACTGGATACTTACACTAACAAGTTGTATGATAAAAATTTTGAAGCTAGTTCATAAAACCCAACTCAAAGACCATGCTACAAGTTCTAAGAACTTACTAGATTGATGAGGATTTCTTAGGCACCTGTAAACCAGTGACCTATGCATATATATGTATACAAAGATGCAGACTCAATCGTGGACAAACACTTCCAGTAGACTCAACATGTACGTACATAAATAGTTCAAGAAAACCACCCATTTTCAATTCTTCCAAACCATAGGAATCATTTATTATACATTGTGAATAATGAGAAATTCCTACCCTTGTTTGGTTTGTGGGGAATGGAGGCGCCATAACATCGTTCCGTTTCGCTCCCTCTTGCTTGCTTCTCCCTTTTTCATTAAGTTATACTAAAATTATAAAGGAAATTAAAGGTAAATCCTCCCTACCATTCCCTCCCCTCCAATTTTTGTTATCCAAACAGGGAATTTTATCCCCTCCCCATAAACCAAACAAGCTTTTAAAAGAGTTCTTATATGAAAAAGAGTTGGAGTAATAAGAAATTACCTTTTAAAGAATTTTCACAAGCATTGTAGCTTAAGAGAATTGAAGCAGCCATAAGTAACCCTCTGAATTGATAAATTTGACTTTTGTTGTTGCTTTTAAGTCTGAATTGATGAAAGAAGCAAAATTAGTGGTGGAATTTATTATAAGAAAGAAGAGAAGTTGAGGATTGAGAAATTTAAATATACCTCAGAAAAAGGGCTCAATATCCTTGGATGCTCTCAAAATCTATTCTCGATGTATGGAATGTGAGAAATTTTGAACCATTCAAGGCCGGTTTCCTTTGCACATCTTCCTTTTAGCTCTGGACATTTAGAAATTGTAAGACGCTGCAACTTGGAGAGGCGTTGCATGGCTTGTGCAGAAGGCAGATATTTCAAATTTGCGCAGTTTTCAATGCACAGAGTTTGAAGAGATGACAAGCTTCCCAACCACTCCGGCAAAGCTTCCACTTGATTGAAATCAGATATGCTCAATTCCCTTAGAGAAGTGAGGTGTTGAATTTGAGGTGGTAGATACGTTAGTTTTTCCCATCCAAACAAGCTTAATTCTTGAAGGGAGGCGTGGAGGTGGTGGATGGAATTAAGATATGGGAATTCCTCCAACTCTTTTGAGAAGCCACCAATTTCCAATCTCTCCAAGCAGACAAGACAGCTGAAGCTCTCCTCCGGAATACTCCTCAAATTTTCACATCTGAAAATACATAAATCAACCAGAGAATGCAAATCCTTCAAGTCTTCTGAGATGGAGATCAGATTATGGCAGTCACTTATGATCAATTGTTTAAGAGCAGTGCAGGAGGACAGTCCATTTGGTAGACTCACCAGTGAACTGCATTTGTCAATCTCTAACTTTCTTAGAGAGGAAAGCCCATTTACACTTGAAATGGGCGTCCGATCTTCAAATCCAACTAGATCTAACTCTTCTAGGCATGTGAGGGTCGAAAGACTTTCCCCAATTGTTTCCAATCTTGGACATAACCGAATGCTTAGTCGTCTGAGAGACGCCGGAAAGGCAAATGCTCCATCTCCGATTCTGGTTAATTCACGGCAAAGTTGAATTCGAAGCTGTTGAAGAGATGATAACCCCGTCATGATTGGAATGAGCCTCAGATTTTCACATCCAGTTAGATTGAACTCTTCTAGGCATGTGAGGGTCGAAATACCTTCCCCAATTGTTTCCAATCTAGGACATGACCAAATGTCTAGTCGTCTGAGGGACTTCGGAAAGGCAAATACTCCATCTCCGATTTTGGTTACTTCAAGGCAAGTGTGAATATGAAGCCGTTGAAGAGATGATAACCCGCTCATGATTGGAAGGAGCCTCAGATCTTTACATCCCTCTAGAGCCAACTCTTCTAGGCATGTGAGGGTCGAAATACTATCCCCAATTGTTTCCAATCTTGGACATGACCAAATGTCTAGTCGTTTGAGGGACTTCGGAAAGGCAAATACTCCATCTCCGATTCTGGTTAATTCAAGGCAACCCTGAATTCGAAGCTGTTGAAGAGATGATAACCCGATGATTGGCATGCTTTTCAACTTTTTACATTTTAAGATTTTCAAGTCCGCCAAATTGTTGAGCGAAAATGATTCACTCAAACTAGGCTCCATCCATGGAGGACATTTTTCACCTCCATAACATTCTATAGTTAAGTTTCTCAAATTTGGGGGAGGTTTGAGGCCTGCTAACACATCTTCATGATGATTACATTCTTCTGTATTTCTATCTGTCCACTGCAATCTCAACTCATGAAGTCCAATCTTTTCCGAAAGTTTTGCTTTCTCGGCTTCTGAGTAGTTTTCAACATGCTCTAGATTACATATCCTTAATTCACCTCTAAGTTGGCTCAAGCATCCCAATTCCTCAATTCGACTTCCCTCTTGTAGACCGACAACAAATAACTGCAACGTTTGAAGATCCTCTAGCCTACCAATTCTGAGTGGCATACATCTGTCTTCATTGAAATAAATGTGTCTCAAGCTGACTAAGTCTTCCACCCCTTCTGGCTGTTTTACAATCCGAAAACAATACATGAACCTCAGTGTCTGCAAACTATACAACTTCATAATAAACTGGGGTAGTTCTTTAATTCTGGTGCTTGAAATGTCTAGATACCTCAAATGCTTCATCTTGCCAATCCAAGTTGGCAACTGCTCAGTATTAGGTCTCCCATAGTTAGCAAAGCTAAGAATGCGTAACCTTTTGAAGCTATCTGGCATCTTGCCCAACATATCACCTTTAAGAAATAAGGAATGTAGTTTTCCAGCCACCTCCACAAAATTTGCTGGCACCATCTCCTCAGCATCAACGAGATTCAAATGCCGAACATGAGCAATATTGCTCTCTGAACCAGCTTTCAAAATAAGTGTTTCTGATTTTGAATTGTAAGTGGCAAGATCATGAATTAAATCATGCATTTTGCATGACTTAATCTTTCCAGTTAGAAAATCTCTTTCTTCCTCTAGAAACAAACAATATGACAACAAGTCATTGAAATACTTGTTACCAATATCCTCCATAGAACTTCCTTGTGATGGTAGAAGAAAGCCTTCAGCCATCCAAAGTTGAATTAACATCTCCTTTTCAATTTTCCAATCCTGGGGGAAAATGGAACAAAAGGCAAAACATTGCTTCAATGTTGTGTTAGGTAGGCGATCAAAACTCAACTGTAAAACTCGAACAGTCCATGTCCGCCTATCATCTTCCAGTGAACTCAAACTATTGTTAACTGACACCCATTCTCCCCTATCCCTTTGATTACTCAGACTAGCCCCAATGACATTGGCAACTAAGGGTACACCTTTACATTTTTTAGCGATCTGCCTTCCAATCGCTTCCAACTCCAGATCCAGCACTGAAGAACCTCCGAATGCTCTCTGCTTTATTATAGACCAACACTCTTCATCTTTTAGTCCTTCAAGATGATACATGTGTTCTCCAAGTGCTCCCATTATAGATGCTACATTTTCACTTCGAGTTGTCACAACCATTCTACTTACTTTATTTTTAGTTATTTCTAACAAACAACCCCTTAAGGCTTCCCACTTCATTCTATCCTCATTCCACACATCATCTAAGATTAGTAGACAGTTTTCATTTTTTAACTCATCTTGTATTTTTCCCACTATGGTAGCCTCATTTTCAATTGAACAACCCTCTTTGGTGAGAGATTCTGACATCTCTTTTAGGATTTTTTTGACATCAAAGACTTCAGACACACAAATGAAAATTGTTTTACCAAAATTCCTCACTATTTTCTCATCATTTTGCACTGATTTTGCTAAGGTGGTTTTTCCTAGACCCCCCATACCCACTACAGATATAACAGAAAGGGACTCCTCATTATTTGGATCAATCAACAAGTCAACTATTTTTGACACATCATTCTCTCTTCCTATGACTCTAGGACAATAACTAAGAGAGGAATATGTTGTTTGAGGGTTGCTACAAGGTTCATGGCTAGCAAGTCTAGACTGAAGTCCAAAATCAGCAGCCTCCTTATTAATCTCAACTATAGATGCAATAAGATTCTCGATCTTACTAGCCATCTCGACACGAAATATGAGAGGATTGGAGGTACTAATGTAGAGACGCACCTTCTTCTTCATTTGCTTTTGAGACCATACCTCCTGTTTCAGTCCTTCATAAACACCCTCGTCCAAAACATCCTCAGCATCACGAGCCACGTCTCTGAGCTTCTCAAGCCAAAGCTTCACAGCTAAGCCTCCAACTTGCTTTCTGTCTACATCTTCCAACATAGCACGGATCATGTCCAACTTGCTGCGAAGCTTTTCGAGCTCTGCCTTCCAACCGACTGCAAGGTTGATTTGCTCAGTAGCAGTTGAAATCACCTTGGATATGGTGGCATCAGCAATAGGACTCAAGACAAGATCGGCCATCTTCACTTCAATAGATCTAGGAAAAGTATGCAAATTATGCTAGAGAGTTAATAGGGATATTATGGAATTATGGGAATAGATGGTGGGATATATAAAATAGGGGTGGATCAAGGCAACTATCATTGGTGCCACGCGGTTTTGAAATCTCCAAATTACCCTTTCACTAGATGGCAATCAATGTGACCGATGGTGTGATAAAAAAGTATGGTCAAGTCAATGGAGAGCGGACACCGCACTCTGAGGGTGGGGTCCACATTACAGGTGAAGATGTTACCCACAACAACGCACATTTTCTCCAACACTAAATGATTAATGATCATACCTTTTTTCTGTAAATATGTTAGTATATAAAATTTTAAATTTTATTTTTAAATATTAGTAATTCTCTTATCTCAAAAACTCATAAAATTAGAAAAAAAAAAAACAACGTACATTTTGAAAGAAATGTGTCATAGAAAAGGTGCATTATTGTTCTTCGACTGGAACCCTGTACTAATTTAGCAGTTTCTTTTTAGCATGATAAACAAAACAAAAACGTAAGCAATGACGCAAAAGCAGCACTGGGACAATGGCCATGCCCCTAGTGATTTCTGTTCGCCAGAAAAATATCTACGAAAGAGGGTAATGAAAGATTGTGTGAGGACTCAGGTCAAGGCCTCAATCTTCCTAGAGAGAGAGAGATGGTTTTCTTCGTACCAATTATTACTGACATAGCCATTGCTTTTGGACCTGCTATGAACTCTTTAAAATTTTTCAAAAAAATTATAATTTTAAATTATATTTTTTTATTGAAAAAAACAATAATAATTTTAATTTATAATATATGTATATTTTTTATTTTTAAATTTAAAAATTTTAAAAATAAAAATGCTAATATATAAATAAGGTTAATGAATTAAGTTGATAAAAAATAAAAATATATTTTTTTTATCATTATAGAATAAAAAAACATAAAAAATTTGAGTGACAAAAAATATATAAAATTATAAAACTAAAATCAAAACTTAACATTTTTTCTTTACGCTCTATAATTCATTCCTTAATTTTTATAATGCTATTTTCAGTAGACCCCTTTCTTTGCACCAT